CAGCAACAGCAGCAACAACAACTACAACAGCAGCAACAACAACTACAACAACAGCAGCAACAACAACAACAACTACTACTACTACTGCTACTGCTACTGCTACTGCTGCTACTACTACTACTACTACTACAACTACTACTACTACTTCTTCCACCACCACGACGGTGACGACCACTAGTGAGCATCACGATAAAAAGTGGGACCAATGAGTAATCACAAGTTGTGGTTAGTGCTAGGGGAGGTAGTAGATAGTGCTGACAACCGTGATATCGAAGCCTTGCATAATTAACTATACTTTCGTTAGGCTTCCTTCTTAAGACTATACTATCATATACCCCGGAACCATGAATTAGGTTTTGAAAGGCCGGAGCTCGGATCTATGATGCGCAAGCTTCTGAACACAATGTCCGCCGACGACATCGAAAAGATGATGGAGAAGGTTCGGGAGGGATGGATGCAGAGGCAAATTTTCTGGCGACGGCGGCGATTTGGGTGAAATGCTGTGAGATCTGGGAATTGCAAGGCCGACACGGACTACAGCAGCCAGCCAAGGTATTGGTTCAATCGGTTTTCAGCACCCAGAAGCCATTTCCTGCAAATATGGGCCTGCCAAGGCCATTCGGTTGGCTACGATGAGTTTGTGGCCTGGCTCAACTCCGAGCATCACGATAGAGTCATGAAGATCTTGAACACCGAGGCCTGGGGCGGCCCGGTTTAAATTGCGGCGCTGAGAATGCATGGGTAGCTCTACGATGGAAAGTATACCGAAGTGATATATACACACGCCTCTGCACACTGATATGCATGTCATAAAACTTGATTTGCATCATGTGGCGTGTATATATAAATAGAATAAATAAATAAATCTATATATATATATATGTATGTGTGTATGTATGTATGTATGTATGTACGTATGTATGTAGGTATGTATGTATGTATGTATGTATGTATGTATACATATTATACACACCCATCTCTGATTCTAGATGGTGTGTTACATGCTTACTGTATGTATATGTATATCTATGTATGTATGTATGCATTATGCTGTGTACTATGGGTGTGTATTGTACATTGTACGTTCTCACGGTTGTTGTTATTAAGCTACGCATGCACTGTTTCATTTCATGCAAATCATGCATTAATGACTTTGGTGAATATAGTTGTTGGTGTTGTCGTTGGTGTTGCCTATGCTGCTGTTGCTGCTGCTGCTGCTGCCGCTGCTGCTGCTCCTGCTGCTGCTGCTGCTGCTGCTGCTGCTGCTGCCTGCTGCTGCTGCTGCTGCTGCTGCTGCTGCTGCTCCTTCTGCTGCTGCTGCTGCTGCTTCTGCTGCTGCTGCTGCTTCTGCTGCTGCTGCTGCTGTTGTTGCTGTTGTTCCTCCTCCTGCTGAAGTTGTTGGTGCGGCTGGTGGCAATGTTAATGTTGTTGTTGCTTGGCTTGTCTTGTCTTGTCTTGTGGCGTGGCGTGGCGTGGTGTGGTGTTGAGGATGATGATGATGATGTTGTTACACACACACCATGAAAGGTTGGGCCAAAATCATCCAAGGTTGTCTTGCATCTTTGGCTTTCGCCCCGGCAGGCCGACCTCGTGAGGGCGACTTTTCGCCTCTGGGACAAGAACGGTGATGGCTTAGTGATGAGCTCAGAACGGGGTTTAGGGGTTTAGGGTTTAAGGGTTTAGGGCTTAGGGGTTCAGGATTTAGGGTTTCAGGGTTTAGGGTTTTAGGGTTTAGGGTTTTGGGTTAAGGGGTTTACGGTTTAAGGGTTTAGGGTTTAGGGGTTTAGCATTTAGAGCAGCTTCAAAGGCTTTTGGAAAGTTGCGGTACTTGCCTTGGGCCTTTCTTGTCTTCTCAGGTCAAGAACAAGGACCTCATCAGAATTCTTGAAAAGTCCTGCGACACCATGACGTCGAAGCAGCTGAAAGCTCTGGTTGATACCATCGACCTCGCCTTAGAGGCCGTTGCGAATCGATCAAATACGGGGGGGGGGTCTGCAAAATGAATAGAAATCCTTGCATAGTTGTTCTACCACATATGTCAAGACCTTACATTATGATGACTGAAACCCCTATACCATGTGAGTGGCGCGAGAGCATGTCTGATGTGCGAGCCCGTCGTGAACTGTGTAGCCAGAACTCGTCTAAGGATGCCTCAGCTGACGGTGAGGCCAGTTCTGTTCTGTGATGTTGTTGAGATAAGTAATGGTTCTTTGCTCGACCTGGCGCAGCGTTCCAAGGATGCGTCTCATTTGTTGTACGATGACTGTGACGGCGCAGGTGGACTATGACGAATTCGTCGATTTCGTGTTCACCTGAAGCACGGCATACATTTTTCAGTACAACTCATTTTTGGCGCTGAATTGATGAACGGTGGAGATGCTGCGAAGCAGCGGAGTCCTGATGGCAATGCTAAGCGATCAGACGAGCCACAGAAACTCATGTTTCACGCCGCTAAGCTGCAAGCGAGTCGCAACTTCCAAAAAGCTTTCAGACTCTGTGCCCAGTCAGTGCTTTTCCTAGTTTCCATTTCGATCGACGTTCGAAAGTCGGGTTTGACATGCGAACTCCTTGCGAGAAGCCCCAGAACAGTTGCACTGCAACTAGCCCTTAAGTCTGAATCGAAAGCACGCCACGATTGTCGTGGGCTTACGATGCCGGAGTTGAAACACCGAGACAAAAACTCTATCCCAGTAAGCGCTTCGCTTGAGGATGCTTTCCGCATCACGAGATTCTTGGGTCCCCATGCAGGAGGAAGCTTTATCATGCTGAACGGTGTGCCACACTTGTTGGCATGCTTCTGCAAGAAGCATGCAATCCGGGGCCCTTCTTCAATCGGCATTTCGGCTTCAGATGGTGAAGGGTGCAGCAGTCTCTTCTTGGAGTTGCATCTGCCCAGCCTCGCAAAGCCATGGCGGAACACGAGGATTTTGATGGTTCTGCGCTGGCTGCGAACCGCTGGATCTGGGCAGCGTCGAGTGTACAGAAAATGCCCGGGGGGTTGCAGCATGGCTGATCATGGATATTCAGAGGCTACTGCCGTCTGCTGCCAGCTATGAACTATCGGTAACTGTGTTTGTGCGCAGACACGTGTTTGCAACGAAAGCCCAGGCAGAAAGTCTTGGGAGGCCAATGGAACCCACGCTATTTGGTGCTCGGTGCCCACACGGGCTGCCTGCACTGGTTCCGCGACGAAGGGCCCGGGGCGATTCTGGGCCAAGAGAGAGGACACCTGCGCCTTGCAGACGTAACTTTCTTGCATCTAAGGGAGAGGCTTGTCGCATCGAGTCTCGTGTGTTGCAGCGATGCACAGCCAAGGTATCGAAAATTGAGTCTGTTATCGATGATGAGCCAGACACCAAGCGCCTGCTACTGTGGGATTTGCTGGGAAATGCGGCCCTCACGATCCGGGCGAGCTCGGAAGTTGTAGAAGCATGGAAGAAGGCAGCCGACTCAGCTGAGAGCTTCTGACATAAGTGGGAGTGCCCTTTCTTGCAACCTGAAGAGGGGCCTCGTGCAGGCACTTCTGGCCGCCAAGACCTACAAGCCGACATTCCTGGAAGGTATGTTTACCTCTCATGGCTGGGTCGATGCCTCCTACTCGCAGTGCCTTGGCCAAACTGAATCCCCCTTAAGACCTAGAGTGTGAAGTGTTTTGAGGCTTGTCGAGCCGCCGGGGCCCTTGGATGTTGAGACGTGCATCGAGTATGACGACTCCAGGGTGCCCTTGATGGGCTTCGCTTTCGAGTCGCAGGAGAAAGCTGGCAGCCAACTGCAGTGCTTTGCCCTTGGCGGGCCGAAGCTTCGATTCCTCGTGATTTGCCGGGGAAGGCTCCTACGCTTCGAGCCCCGGGAGTTCGCCTTGCTCGGGGAAGCCAAAGGGGGTGAGGTGGTTTTGGCATCCTTGAAGAATGTCGCGCGTCACAACCAGTATGTGATCGCGGATCAAGCACGCTTGAGGCTCATCTTCAAAACTGCGAATGCGCAGACGTGGGCTGCATGCCTGCGAAATGCTGATGCATTTCACTGCCCGAGCCCATCTGCACAGGGCGATGCATCAAAGACAGCCAGGTCGCAGAGCTATGGGCTGGTTCGGGTCGTACAGTCTGTTGGCACATGGATCAGGCAGCGAGCCCTACTTCTGCTGCTGTGCAACAGCGTTGTGGCACTGACTCTGATGCTTCAAGATTCTGCCGCTTTCTGGCCCTTTGTCATGGTGCTGAACCTGCTGACGTGTTTGAGAGCTGGAGCTGATGCCCCACAGCTTCCAGTTTCAGAGGCTACAGGCAGGGACGACGAGGTTGACTTGGTGACATCCTTGCATCCTGTTGCCCTCGGCTCCACTGCTGGATGTGTTGAGGATGCGACGGCCGCTTCTATCCTCGTGCGCTCCCAGGGCTACAGCACCCATAAGCAGAAAGAAGCTTCCCAAGACTCCATGTACGAACTGCGACGAGCATTCACGATGCCAGCCCCGAGCAGCTCTTCCAGGCATTCCCACGTTGCAAGGCTTGGACTTGAGATGCTTGGACTCGAAGGGCCAATCTCATCCGATCTTCCGACCTTCTGCATCGTAAACCTGCAGATCCCGGACGATGCCCCGAACATCTTGCAAGGACGGGTTTCGCATGGACACGCCCTGCCGTGCTTTCACGTCCCAAGTCCTGCCGACAGTAATCTTGATATCTTTAAACCGTAACCCTAAAGACCCTAAGCCCGACCCTATAAAGCCTTAAAGTCTGCTTTCCAGGAGCCGATGCTAAATGCAGCTCTGCAATCTTTTGCTTCTCGGTCCGGGCCGAAGTCGAATCGGGACTGAAAGAGACGCAAGAGCCTGCGCTGCAGCTGCTGCGTCGCTTTTGCCAGTTTGCTCAAGAGGACAACATCATGAGGAATAAGCTGAAGGCCCTGTGCCAAATCACAGAGTCTAAAAATTCCTCGCTTCCTTCTATCTTACAGAACTTGAGTGGCAAGCCAGCATTGCTGGGCAAGTCTGCAACGATCTACTCTGGTGCTGGGTACATTGAAATCGACGTAGCTCCTTGGTCGGCAGTAGCTGCGTGATTTACGGATAGGTGCAAATGGCTCTCCAAGACAGGATGTTACGAACTCCTTTGCTCACGTTTGTTGGGACTGTTTGGAGCAGCCTGCGCCCCGCCGCAAGGATATAAGTTCTTGCGCGTACGTGAACCGGCTGTCGCTCCACCAAATGCGGAGCAGACTGAGCTCCCTGCAGCTGGACTTTGCCCTTATTATTCAGGGCGATTCAGATGCTGAGTTGCCAGAACGACTCTTGGATCGATTGGCAAGTGCATCTTTTCGTTGTCTTGCGGTCCTCGCCTTTTCAGTTCCTGCACATGAAGGAGTGTGGGCAGCTTCAACACTCCATTTTGTAGATATGGACGAGCTCATTCACACGCCGCGCTCAGTGAGCCAGAGCCCTCTCCAGAAATCGCCAGAGACTGCGTCCTTGCACAAGCGGCCTCCGGTTTCGTTCTTTGAATGAGCTGCTTGGATCGTTCATCGATGGCTGACTGAGCCATACCGAGACGAGTCAAAGCTTCGTGTAGTAGAGTAGCCGATGACCAGAGCTATGAGAGCCTGATCGTCATGAGCAGCTTGAGATGTCTGATGTAAGACATGCTTGCCAAAAATGGACTTCCTGCGCCGATGTCTTTTGCAGTGATTGACCGGGCGTTGACCGGGCGTTGCGATTGCCTTTTCTTCTGGCACCAGTACAGCCAAACGACGAGAAGGAGTTAGAAACCCTACGATCCCCTGGCCAACTCTAGTTTGAGCAGCTTGTGGACAGACCTTCAGCAGCCCACGCCCAGGATCCTAAAACCCTAAACCCCGTATAAACCCGTAAACCCCCAAAACTGGCCCCAAACCATTCCAGTAGGATGCCGTAGCTGTGGCGTCTTTCATTGCTATGCTGCTGGCTTCGCTCCAGGAGGTGGGAGGTGTCTACATATGGGCAGTTCTCTGAATTAGGGTTGTTTATGGTTTAGGTCCCTTTTATATAAGGTCCTTTCTTGTAAGGGTGCCGTAGTAGTATTTTGGGCGACCTAAGATTTTAAAAGGGACGCCAATTTAGGGTACTACCCATACTGCGGACGGAAAGGCATTTCCGCCTACAAAATATGTCTCTGCAGACCCCACATGCTACATATACCGTTGCACAAACTGTGCAAATTGCTGGGACATCGGTCCCGAGACTCACGCCGTACTGAAGACTGAAGGGGACGTGCCGCAAGGTTTTTTGAGTTCACTGCAACAACATGACAGCAACAAGAAGACTGATGCAGCTGTTGTCGCTGCTGCTCCTACCACAACCACCACCACCGCTACTGCTGTTGCTCCCGCTCCGTCTCTTAAGACTGTTGTTTGTTTCCGCTGCACTTTATCTGGTTGAGCGCTGTGGAGAGCTTCCGACGAAAGGCATGCTGGCGAACGGTGTTGTGGTCGTCGACAGCCGCGGCCATGGCTGAGTGGCTATCCACATCTTCTCAGTTCGTCTCCTCTCCATCGCAAGAACTGTCAAAGTCCAAGTGCAACACAAAGTAAGGCGAGGAGGAAGATGTTGTCATCACTGGCGAGTCTGCTCCCGGACCATCTGGCCAAGGACAACTTGGGCTGCAGTGACTTCGTGACTTCAATGTTCGATCGCTTGTCAGCAGCTCGTTGTGAAGTCTTCCTGGTACCATCACCACGGGTCGTGGTCAAAGGCTGTCATCTCGTTTTCAGATATTGTATGCTTGTCTTTGAAGCCACATGCACTTTTAGCTGGATTCGATCTGCAGCTTGCTGGCCTCCTGCCCCAAGACCAGCCAGCATTGGGCAAGAAGGACAGGCGGCAAAGGTTCGCAAGCGTGTCGACCTCAGCGGCGTCCGCAAGCCATCACTGCTTCAGTTTGGGCAATTGAAAACTTGCAGGCTGCAAAGGGCAGGTGCGCTTCACAATGATCAGCGAAGTGTTCCACAAGTGTCACAAGAGCCCTAAGAGTCCCCCCACAGCCTTTCAATCAACGACCGTCACACCCCTTTCGAGCTAAAAACAGCTTCAGAGAGTTGGAAGAAACGTTATTGCGGACGGTCTTCGCCATGTCGCTTCTGGCCGCCGACCTTGAGAAGCTTTCAGTGAGCACCTGAGCCCAGCTGCTACCTTTGCGTTTCCGAAATCCTTTGATCTGTGGCCAACAGAAAGAACTATTTTCAAAAATCGGCAGCATGTGGTCGAAGTGTCATCTTCGTGGACTTGTCGGCAGTGTAGTGTAGTGTGATCTAGGGTGTTGAGCTGCGCCACACACTGCAAGGTGGCAGACCTCAAGAAACGGCTCTTCTGGGCAGGGGCGTCGCTGCCTGATGGCCACTTGGAAAAGGTGCCTGCAGAGCAAGCAGAACGCAAGGGGGCTGCTTGCGCAGTTATTGTGTGGTTGAGTCGATCTTGCCAACATAGCACCACAAGTTCAAGGCGACGACGTACAGGTTTGCATAGTGATAGTGAGTACAGAATTTGAAAGGCGAAGGGGAGAGGGGAGCAGGCTCCGCTTGTGAAAGTCGACTTGAGACGTGCATGGTGCTGCCGACACGTCGGCACGTTCTTGACATCTTATATGCCACCTGCACTACATACCGCCGGGATGAGCACATGCACGCCAAGTGCAGTGCAGGCAGACATCATCAGTGTCGTCAAGAAAGCTGAAGCGGAGAAGGCTGAAAAGGCTGCAGAGGACCTCCCTGCAGCATGCAGCGTCTTTCCCAAGGATGTGAGCACATGTGGCAGGGATGGTTCGGTTGTGGCTAAGATGAATCCAACCTAAACCACCTTTCGCTTTACTTCTTTCTGGACCTTGTTTCGGGTGCTCGTTGGGGCTCGGTAAATGCTCGCTTATATAGCACAATCGAAAGATTACGTACGTGATTTGTTGCAATCACTGCGAAAGCATGCACACTCTGCAGGGCGGCCAAGCCCCAGGCGTCGGTTATGCATAACCGTTTCTCGATTCACTTCTCCGACAAAACCTTATAAGATTCATGGTTTTGGATCTTATAGCGTACGAAGCGATCCTAAGTAGCGCATATAAAGAAAGCGTGTAGCACAAGCAGAACCGAAATGGAGGAAGCGCGCGTTCAGGCGCCCTAGTTGGGCGCTCGATTCTCAAGAATGACTATTTTACAATCAAATAGTGTGAGAAGGAACAGGGGTCGAGCACAAGTGCTAGGATGGGCTCATGGTGGGAAGTTCGAGTCCTTTGCATTTGATGGCAGGCCGATCAGAAGAGGGTCGAAGAGGAGAGGGGCGTGCCCAAGCCTGACCCGAAACCTCTGGACTTCAACAACATCCAGTGCCCAGATGAGGAGAAGCAGGTCCGGGGGTACCCTACCGCAAGTTGAGGTGAGTGTTCTTATGACAAGCAGCTGCTCTGAGCATTCTTGGCTTCAGATAGTCGAGCTGCACCTCCTGACAGAGAAGCAGCTGCGGGACAGGATCGAGCAGGACAGTCCCCACCCTCGTGGCTTCAGCTGTCTCAGCCCTTTTTGGGATTGACTTCCACTTCTGCGGTTTCTTGAGAAATTTTCGGTTCGGCGTGGATACGGCAATGTAGATCTCCAAAACAACGCGACGTGTGGTCCGTGGTCATCCCTGAGTAGGCCGGACACGACGTACCCAAGGGCGAGCCGAGCAAGCACTATCTCGTCGCGCTCTGTCGGAAAGCCATGAAGGACCCCCGCGAGCCCAAGCCCAAGAAAGCGGAGGCTCCAGAGGACGAGGAGGAGGAGGCCGTGGTACCCAATCGAAGACCGACAATCGGGGATAGGGTGCAGATCCGGGACACCATGATCATGAAGCGGTATTTGCCGGAAGCCATCGGTAAGGTATTCCGCATCTTCAAAGATGATGGTGGGGCCTTCCCATACAGGCTAGCAGGTGTGGGGGAGCAGCGCCACTGGTTCAGCGAGGATGACATCTGCTGGCCGGTGAAGAAGGCTCAGAAGACGTTTATAACCCCAAAGGAGAGGACGAAAGCGAAGCCAGACAATCAGCCGGAAAAGGTCGTCATCAATCACAACCGGTATGGCTGCACCGCCGGAGAAGTCAGAGACGTGCTTGGGGAGACAGCAGACAAGCGGAATTGGGTGCTCAGTGGTGGCCGCCAGGTTCCCAAAATGCACGAGGGGAGCGGTTGGAGTCGGAAGGTGGAGAATTCCAATACCATTTGTGATGCACGGCCTCCACCACCCCCGCCTGGCTCCATTCCCCGAGCCCCTGCACCCGTGACCCTCAGTGAAGAAGAGATGTTTGCCCAGATGGAGGAAATGCAAGCACAGATGGATGCCGAAGAGGCCCAGGCGGCACAAGCTCCCCAGGAGCCTTTGCCAGCCGCAGCCCCCGAAGCGCAGCCTGTCGAGCCCGTGACAGCCCCCACTCCGGCGGCGGTGCCTCCCTCGCCAGCAAAGCCGAGTCCTCAAAAGGCTCAGGATCCGGCCCAGAAGGACGAGGCATCCGATCAGGCATGGTCAGGTTTGTGTCAGATGTAAGGCACGTGAACTGCACAAGCGCTTCTGCAAAATGTCGGGTTAGTGAATTGTATAGTCAGGAGGTTGGCAGTGATGCAGCTGATATTTCATCCCCTAATCCATCTAACGTACAACAGAATGCCTTACGAGCCCTTCGGCCTCGGCTTCCGGCAGGCTGCAACGGAGCCCAGCGTCAACGGCGCTAGTGTCGCTAGTGTCATGGATCCTGGCGAAGAGAGGAGAAAGCGGAAGGCGGACGCGAGAGCTAAGGCACAAGCTGAAGGCCACGGCTTCCTTGATTGTTACTTCTCCATGTTCCAGGCGGGTTTGCTGGGATGCTGAGCTGCGCCATTGAGGTGCCGCACGCAGACTGGCGCGGAGGCAGCGTAAAGAGCAAACAGCTCAGACAGCGGCGAAGCTGACAGTTAGCGATGACGAGGTGGAGGAAGTGCAGGTGACTTGATGCATTGGGGCAGCTGTTTCTCGGGACCTGTGAACGGGAGACACAGGAAGATCTCACTTACTTGTTGAATTGTTGGACACCGAGGCAGCTGCTGATGCACCTATCTCCATAGATGACTGACGAAGCAAAAAAGCGAGTGATTCTGAATCCGTTTCGCTCGCAGTTGGGTGGGGTTCCGGATCCTGTTGTTCATGCCTGCAGTTCAGCAGACCGAAGACAAGCCAAGGCCAGAAGCGAAAAAAGAAGAAGGCCCCCAAGAAGTGCACTCTGCAGCAATCTTCGTGATCCACCAGACTTCCATGGCTTCCCATGGAAGGAGAAGAAGCGAAGCAAACAGAAAGCAACTCAGAGGCCCGAGCCAGCCAAGAGCATCTTCGGCAAAGCGTTTGTCGTCGGTTCAGGGCAGTTGCTGCAACAGCTGTAGCGGCAAGACCGACCGAGAGGTGCGACGGGCCTGAGTCGTGCGGAGATATGTTGTAATCGTCCTAAGCAGATCCGAGGATGGCCCGAGAGCGTTGCCAAAGCGACAGAAGTGAGGCCGAGTATTGCTATATACGGTATCAGCATAGGGTACCACTATAGGCTATAGGGTCCTACAGTAGGGTGCTATTATGGTGAGCTGGGTCAGGGACCAGCTGGGAATGCAGCCTTGTGCTGAGGCCGTGGGGGCCGATCTTTTCGGAGGCCCCTCGGAGATCATGCAGTCTCGTGCCAGATGCTCAAGCTTTATTGCATCCATCTTCTCTGCAACGCCACAGAATGCCATAGACTCGAGCTCTATCATATAGTACCCTATGATAGTACTCATGGTGCCCGTAGAGTACCCTATAATACAGAACCCTCTACAGTACTACGCTAGAGAGGTACCCTTTGAGCACCCTAGAAAAGAAGACGCCCGAGGTACGTTCTGCCAAAGAGTTCCCCGGAGCGCTTTGCACAGAGTGCCGGCATCCGCTGGCCGCTGCTGGGCCAGAGGCTGCTGTGTGCGCAGCCCAGACGGATCCAAGGGAGGCCAAAGGCTTATACTATCAATAAGTATATAAATACAATAATACATATATAGATAGATAGATAGTGGTACGGTATCTATCTATCTACCTGTCTATTAGCCTATCTATCTATCTATCTATCTATCTATCTATCTACTGGTCTATCTATCTATTTATCTACCTCTCTGTCTACGTATCTAGCTGTACATACTAGACTAAATATATTATAGCTGTCCTATGCTATTTGGCTATGCTATGACACATATGTGTACTGTAGACTGCGTTGCTGAAGTATGAGTATGCTTCGATTCTGTAGTACAGTTACACTGTACTATATAATGTGTAGTGTAGATGTACTCCAATGTGCCATGAACGCGCCTCTCAGGGCAAACGCAAGTGGTCACGACCTCGCTGAGGATCGAGTTTCGTCGACCTTGGCTGCTAGAGCCATGCCGGTACCTGAAGTTTGTGAAGTCTTCTTTGCCTTCTGTCAGTATGTCGGCTTGGTCTAGGCCACTGGCCACACGAGGTCGGATTCACGCACAGATCCGATGCTTGGCATCTGCCGGGCTGCTGACCACGAGCCCACTGGGCCAGGCAGCCGTCATTGCTGCGACCTCTGGTGGAGACGCGAAATAAATAAATATTAAAAAATAAATAAATATATCTATCTATCTATCTCTCTCTCTCTCTCCCTCTCTCTGTGACTCTCCTTTTAACAGACTCTAACGACGTGCCCCCACAGGCGCTGCCGACGGGGTCCAGGAGCAAGACCGACCCCATGCCAGGCTCTAAGCACCCTCATCACGTACTGAGCCGGCTTCGCGCAATTGAGAAGAGAGTCTAGAAGTTCGTGAAGCTCTTCTCAGTGGGATGGGCGAAAGCCTACTTGTGCTGTTGAGGCAGGGTACCAGTACACAAGGCCGCAGTGGAGCTGATGCTTGCGAGCGGAGCGCCTGCTTGCTCAGAAGTTTTTGTTGGTGCAGGTGTTCTTAGATCCCTGGCGCGGCAGGCTTGGCAAGCACAGATGGAGTGCCGCGCATGGGCCGCTAAATATGTAGGAATGACCGGCCCAAAGATGGAAGCACAGCATCACCCCTAACGCGGTATTTATGGAGGAGAATGCCGCCCACGTGGTCCGAGAACCCCGCCTGCCGAATGCGAGGCAGTGCTTGCTAAGACTGCTCGGATGCCACCCGGCGCTGCAGCAAGGAGCCATGCCGAGACTGTCGCAGGTCACTGGCCGCTGCGAGGCAGATGGCTGTGTCTGTCGGCCGCTAAGCGATGTTTAGCGGAACTACTGGTCTGCCCGCGGTTCATTATTCGTCGTCCATGCAAAAGGCAGCACTGCGCACAGTGCGACGTGCAGTTCGTGATGCAGCTGATGAGGCAACGCTGGATGGGCCATGAAGCTCCAAGATGTCGGGTTGGACCGATCTTCTGCACAGGCCGTTTCTGGTCCGCCTCGGCGACGCCAGGCATTCCCGCCAATTCATTCACTCTGGTGCATACAGTACTTTCAGCTAAGAGCTACCATGCGTGTCAGGCCACGCGGCAAGACCGGCCCAGGTGTGAGACTCGTAACATGACACCCCGAGACGTGGAGGCAAACTGCATTCTAAGGCCGACCGAAGGATGCAGGCCGCCGGCTTGACCATCATCCGACAGCACGAGTTGCTGCGAGCGTTGATCGGCAAGTGTTGTTGAACACCGGACCTAGAATCTGTGACAGGATCTCCCCACTGTTTGAGGCTGTAGTCGCGGTCGGCACCTCTGTCGATTCCAGCAGAAGACCTTGAAGAGAAGAGAGCGGCGCGAGGCTTTACCTGCGGCCGAAGCGCCGACTCGACATGACATCCCCAAAGGGGAGCGTTGCGCGGCAGCGCCGGCACAAACTCTACTTTCTTCGAGCCTTCGAGTGCTATCTATAGTTTCCATTGTAGTTCCTTGGTTGGTTTAGCTAATTTTCTAGTTAGGATCCTATAGCCTTAAACCCTAAACCCCAGACAAAAAAAGAGCCCTCGGAAAAAAACTAAACCCCCAAAAGGAACTACAATGGAGACAATAGGTACTGCTATACTGGTGGAATATTTGGAACCACTTGGCAGGTCTGCCATGGCAAGCTCCTGCGAAGGGGGCGGAAGGCAGAAACGTCTGCAGTATGACTGTTCTACTAACTAATATAATTAGTGTCATTATCCGTATTTCTAATGTTATTTTCAGTGTTATCAATTATCGGCGATGATGTGGGCATAGCGGCTGTCGCTGTCAGAGTAAGCCTTTGCAAAGCCTGGATTGTGCACATGGCAAGATCCGCCACCTGCCGTGTGGTCACATCTTCCACGACGCCGGCACCCCGGTAAAGCTGCATGGCCTTTGCGCAATTTGCAGCCGGCATGGGTTATCATTGATATTATTGCTAATCTCATTACAAGTGCGTAAAACTAAAATATGCTATTCTCGTTATTGCTATTATTGTGATTATCATCATTATGCTTGTGCTACTCTGCTGATTGTCGTCATGATAACTATAGCTATTTTTATATAGTTATTACAACTATTAGTATTATCATCGTTATTCTTCGTATTGCTTATTACTTGTTAACTGCTTTAGGTCTTTATCTTTTTATTCTTCTTCTTCTTCTATAACTACTGTTATTATGACTACTAGTATCATTATCATGTTCATCATCATTCATATGTTTATTCATATATTTGTTTTACTACAAGTTCTATCAGCGTTATTATTGTTGTTATTATCATGTGCTGAAGAGCTAGGACTGCATCCTTCCATGGCTTCAGAAGCGCACCGTGTGCCCACTCTGCCGCCGCGGGGGGCCCAGCTGTGAGCCTGCGAGGCCAGTACAGTAATAGTGATATCGGATAGTTCGTTGTCATAGTGAAAGTACTAATAATGGTCATGGTAACAGTGATCGTAGTAGTAATAGCTATAGTACTATAGTTTTGGCAATAGACTAATAAAGTAGTATTGCGCAGAATATTCTGATAGTAGGCAGTGAGAAGCCGATCAGGTGATTTCTCGACGATGGTTCAAGAATCTAAGCCCGGCGCCAAACGCTGGCCGCAGATTGTCTTCATCATCGTCAACTTTAGCCCATCGCGCCGTACCGAGGCAGAGAAGGGATGCATCATGGGTGGCTACAATGCTGAGCCGTGTACCCGGACTGTCTTCCTGCAACTTCTCCGGTTTCGATGCGGCCCCAGGTCGAGAGAACCAGCCCAATGAGGAGGAGGCTTCTATTAGACATGCGACAGGGCCAGGATAGTCAGTCGTTCGGCACCGTCGATGAGGCAGTTCATCAGGGCTCCCTTTGTAATTCTCGAGGCAGCTGCGGAATCGCTGCAGCCGCACGGCGACCTGCCCATCCTTCTCGACTGAGATGACATGCGATAGCGTATGGGAGCACTCGTCAAAAGATTACAATGGAAGCCCATCGTCACACGTCGAATGCCGTTGCATCAACCACGCTTGGCATGTTACGACCACGAAAGCACAGAATCCTTCCCAGCCACTTGGCTCGTTATCGGGGGGGTGCCCTTCCCTCTACCACCTCGAGACCGATCAGGCTTGGATTAACACGTTGAAAAAAGTCTGTCGCAACTCACAACACGAGCTGAAATCGAAGGGCAGGGACGAGCTTGTTGTTTCTCAAATTTCCTTCAGATAGCGGAAGAGTGCGGAGAATCCTTCATATGGTCGCAGCCCCAGTGCTGCAAGCTCTCAGGCTCAGGCCATTCAATCTTTTTGCGTGACGGGGACCGTTTCTGTTAAGGCAGTCTCGAAGCTGCTGCTCCTTCTGACCTTGTGCTGTAGATCTTTGTGCCTTGCTGGTGCCTTAAAGTCCTCCCAGCTTTCTAGGACGGCATGGACAGTTCCTCTGCTGACGGCCCGAGGTTCCGAAGGCCAAGGATGGTAGCTCGAAGATAGACACGGTTTCGCCGGATGCCCTCAAAGCGGGCAGGAGCCGGCTGGGAAGCCCATTAAACAGGAGCCATGACCTCGTTTTGCAGGAAGTACCTCATCTCGTCCTTTCCGGCGCTGAAACAAGTGGGCTACACAATCCTTCCAGACACGGTTTGGCGACCCTTAGTTCTAGGCGCAGCATCCACGAGCTCAACTCACCAGTTACGCTACAGTGCATCTCGATTTGCAGCAGGCGAGGTGCAGAGTCCCACTTCGATTGCAGTTGATCCTTTGTCCTCCAGATTGTATGTGGCAGTTGGGCCCTCGGTCCAGGGTCTTGGGCCAGCACCCCAAGATTTCTAAATCCTGCAAGTATCAACTGAGGATCCACCACGAGGTGTGATTTGGTGGTATCAGCTGGGCACAGGGACTGCCACATTAGGAACCCTTTCGGATGACAGATGCCTGCATTCTGGATGGCCAGGAGCAACGGATTGCTGCAAACAGTCGGACGACAACGCGCAGCTGTTGAAGGCTTCAGCGCGAGCCTGCCTAAGCTGTGGACTAGCGGAAGCTGGGGACGCACAACAGACTATGGAGATGCCAATGAGTACCAGAACGCTGAGGCATTGGTTGGCTGTCAATGGTGCCGGTGACCTCTACTTCAGTGGGCATCCTCTTCCGAAGGTGTGCGGGGACACGTGTGCTAACACAGCATGCCTTCACTGCTCATTGCTCTGCGGAGTCTCAGGCCGGGGAGAACTCCACTGTCGATTCAGTTTGGCGGCTTGACAACGAGCAGGTCCACAACTCCGAAGTTCAGCAGAAGTGAACTGCCAAGCTAGCAGCCAGGTCGTCACTGGAGACTCCTTCAACCCAGCAGAGGTCTACACCACCCAGAACACGGGACAACCAGATTCCAAGGCATACGCCGCGCCTGCGAGCATGAATTCCTCAAGTTTGTGTCAGTCATGAACTTTATTTGCCGCCAATTGTACTTGTAGGATACAGGCAGAGCAGCGGCAAAATAATTATCATGAGTGTTATTATGGTTAAACGGTTAGCGTTACGGCTACAGTATCATCATCAGTAACATGATGCTGAACGTCAGTGCTCTTTCTTCTCTGCTTCCTGTGATGCTGCGCTACAATTCGTCGACGTTGTCGTCGTAGAAAATGCTCCTACGATCGTGGTAGGCATTGCCGCCTTGTAGAACTCTTTCATTTAGCCATAGGCCCCTAAGTGGTTCCTTTTTGTGGTTTGCATTTGGAATCCTATAAGGCAATCCCAAAAAGGAACTACTTAGGGGCCTATGGGTAGCTGTGTGGAGGTGTTCCAGCTCTCCGGTCTGGCCGTTGATTCCTTCTTCATCTTCTGGGGAAACCAGGCCTGGTTTGGGTTTGGGGTTTAGGGTTTAGGGGTTTAGGGTTTCGGGATTGGGGGATATCAGGCCTAGGCCTGGTTCGCGGGCAGCTACTCAGGTCAGAGAGCATAGAGCAGCACATGCCATCAAGAGCAGCCTCATTGGAAGACGGCATTCAGAAAACGACAGGTCGTTGATCCCAGATGTAGATGTTCGCCAGGGAAACAGTCGGCATACTTCTGTGCATCTCTATCTGCCCTAGGCACGTCTTGCACTGGGCACGTAGTTGTGTTGTTGATGGGAACATTGATCGAATGCTCCATGACAACTGGCGTGGGTGACTACTGATTTTGATACATCATTACACGCATATCTATGTGTGTGTATATATATATGCATGTATATAAAGATATATATATATATGTATAGAGAGAGAGGACTGCCCTCGGCTCTAACCCTAAGCAAAGCAAAGCACAGCAGAGAGAGCGAGAGAGAGACAGGGACGAAAGAAAGAGGGAGAGCGGGAGAGGGAGAGAGCGCGCGAGAGAGAGAGAGAGAGTGAGTGATGCCTTGTTTTGTATGCAGCTTTCCCAAACTGCCCTCCGCAACTGTCGGGGGCGCCGACGGCGCGCGGGTAGGGGGGGCAACCCTCCTGCCCATAACCCTGCCGAAAGGGAAAGAGAGTGAGTGAGAGCCGACGGAGTCATGGGTTAGGAGGGGTGTGCTTTCGGGCTCGGGTCACACAGGCACATTCGGGGGAACACACCCACATCCCCGAAAGGGGGCGAACCTCGCACTGGCGCGAGCGCGGGGGTAGGCCTTCGGGCCAGGGGT